TTATAATATTATGTTTCTTGGTAGGTAAGTTATGTTTTTTTTTTAAATTAATTTTGCTATTGAATGTTTATTTAGCATTATTCCACTGTCGACAACCATCAAGTCAAGTTCAATTTCATTATTTTAATTCCAATCAAAGTTAAAAATTAATTTAAGAGTTTCAAGAATTTAATAAATATATTTATTTTCTCTCACAGACCCACACAAAGATACAATATGAACATAGATAAAATATGACACGCTTAATATGATCAAAACATTTTCGTAAATTATAATATTAAATTATGTTTAAATTGTTTTGAGCCAATATTTAGACAAATCGGTATGTATTACCCTCATATTATCGAAATTTATTTAATTTGAAAGAGTCAAACTCCATTAGTCATGTTCATGTTATATTTGTATAAGTAGGTAAAAGACGTTCGAGTATCATTTGAAAAATATTAACGTTAACTCGTTTACATTTTGGGTGACGCATTAAATGCTTTGGGAATGTTTATACATCCACTAGTTAGTATGTACATGGCTATAATATTTAATGCTGAGAAACTGACTTCATAAATGTATTCCAATGTATAAATTAAAATTCAACAACAAGAATACTTATGGCATAGATAAACAATAATACACAGCAACTGTGGCTGAAATTTCGTTGTGTTGTTCATTTAGGGACGGATCGTGTTTGTCATGTGCGACACCAGCCATGATGAAAATGACAAACACTGCTCCTGTAGGAAAAGATGTGCGCAGAAGTTGTGACAGGTAGAAAAATGTAACCGTATTGTATTCCTATAATTATTTGTATGAAATTTTAAACAGAAATTAATTTGTAAACTTTCATGATTTTGATGAATTTTGAACAAATTTAAGCTTCAAAATATGCTTTTAAAAAAATCGTACAAACCATTATACATTTTATTTTATTTTTCGGGTAACAATGACTTAAAATATCACATTGTTTATCGTTATTACTAAACAGCCGACTTAACCGTGGAAAGTTACAAGAGCAGAGGAGAAAAACGAATGCAAACAAGCCCACTGGTAAAATTGATGTATTACCAATTAATATCAAAGTGGAGCAGAAAAAAAGCAGTCCTGATGTAGGAAATTGTTATTACAAAATAAACAAACTACAAATGTACTTTAATAGGTATGAATGCAATATATTAATATATTATTAACATTTCATCAAATTCATTTACGATTACGTCATTAAAAATATATATATGGTTATACCAAATATGAATAAATTAACCAAGCATCAACCATAGCTCACCTATAGTTAACTCGTTTTTATTTAAAAAATTTTTATTTAAATTCTGATTATGAAATTTTTAAGTAGGTATACTTAAGGACCACATTTTCAAATATTTAGACTGTGGCGATAAAGAACTTACACTTTTTACTATAAATTATTATTATTATTATTATTATAGTACTTTGAGCAAACTATATGTGGTACCAACTTAACTATTTTATTAAATATGTATTCTGAATTTAATTCCCTATAAACTAAATAAACTTTACTTAATTTAATTTGACACTTCATATTTATATTATAAACTATTCACAAGAAAATACGAAAAGGACACATGGTAAGATATCAAATAATTTATTGTTACATGAATAGTAAAACGGCAACGGTATATATTTTACATAATAATATCAGAAACAAAATTGCAGTATAAAAACTAATGTGATATTATGAAATTGATTTCAGAAGTCCACACTATAAAAGCTCCAGCTATAATCGGGTTTTAAAGGACATACAGAAAATGCACGAGTAAGTAAATATAATATAATACCTATATTAGACACTGACCTAAATAAAATAATGTTTTAATATACACTGATGTAGGCATACAAATACCTTCAAACTGAATGTAGGTACTTACATTAGAAATATATATATATATATATTAGAAATGATAATCGGACATAAGCTAATAATTTAATACGTAATATAGATTTTCTTATAATTTGGGAATTCTGGATAAACGCACTTGTGTTTTAATATAAAAACATAGGCTGTGAAGAAGACATATTGAGAAGTTTTCTCTGTAGCGAGAGAAGATTAAATTTGAATTTAAGCGTTAAGCTAACGAATCATTATGACACTTATGACTGGATTTACGTTGATTTTGAACTGCTATAGTAGGACCATAGTGGATATAGTGATGAACCTTGTGTTTTATTTTTGATCTTTTTTTTAAGGAGGATCAAACATTTTTACTACAGAAATCGACTAAAAGATATTAGTTAAGAGTATGAAAACAATATAATATTATCAACATTAAATGGATAATAAATAATTCAAAAAATATACTTACCTCTTGAAATTCCTAAATATGTGGTGGTAAAAAAAAATGCCAGAGGTACTGTACTAAATTTGTAGCGAAGTGGTCTACAATACAAATTATTAAAATAAATATAAAATAAAATATATTTAAATGATTACAACAAGAGTTATTCTTTCATTTGTCAGGTGTTTCTGTTACACATTGCATAGGTTCATAAGCACAGTTGGAGTAAAAAAATTCGTCTAAATACACCTTTATAGGCCGCTAATGAACTTGGAATAGTGATCCGGGCCCTTCCTATTCCAACTCTGCATCCAGTCAAATTTGATTTGATTTTTTTAATTCAAAAGATTTGAATTCAGTTCACGTTCTATTTGATATACCTTTTGCAACCACTCATTAGTATATTTATAATACTGCGTGGTCAGAGATTTGAGAAACTGACTTACTTAATATGATAAAATTGTATTTCCAAATTAAAGTACATCCACATTTAGAATATAATATCAAGCTGTTGCTGAACTTTCATTGTTTTGTTGATATAGGGACGGATCGTGTGTATTCTGTAGCATATCAGCCACGAAAACAACAGACTCTGCTTCAGTCACCGTGAAAAAAATTGAAATTTAAAAAAGATATGTTTGAATGTAATTCTTTGCTTTGTCGCTCCAAATATATCTCAAAAAGTCTCTCCTTTGACACTCATTTATAAGCTTTTTAAATTGTCTTCTAGTTTAAATCGCTGTAAAAAATTGATTAAAAATTGAGATTAAGAATCGTATTTTAAATTTTTCACAATATAAATCAAGCTAATTAAATGTTATAGTGATTTACATCATAACCGTATTTCTCCATTTCAAACGCCGAACCCATGTCTGTGAAAGCGATTTTTTTTTAATGCATCGATCTCACTGTGTGGAGAACCATCCGAACTATCCTCTGTATTCTGAAAGTAAAACAATAACTTTATTATTTCCGAACATTAAATTCGAAAATAAAATCATTTACAAATGATTTGATGCTTTTCTGTAGGAGTTTAGTTGGGCTATCGATTTTTTTTGATTTTACCAAACAGATTTTCAATAAGTTCCGCTATCACATGTCGGTCGTTACTATAAAACATTTTTATCACATAATATTTTAAGTATAGTTATTAATTTTCTATATAAATCAAAATTAATTTTATTAAACGAGCTTATGAACAAAATAAGATTTAATTCTGATTTATATAGTAAATTAATAATTATACTTAAAATATTATGTAATAAAAATGTTTGATAGTAACGACTGACGTCATGTGATAGCGGAGCTTATTGAAAAATCTGTTTGGTAAAATCAAAAAAATCGATAGCGCAACTAAACTCCTAAAGAAAAGCATCAAATCATTTGTAAATGATTTTATTTTCGAATTTAATGTTCGGAAGTAATAAAGTTATTGTCTTACTTTCAGAATGCAGTTCGGATGGTTCTCCAGACAGTGAGATCGATGCATTCAAAAAAATCGCTTTCTCAGACATGGGTTCGGCGTTTGAAATTGAAAAATATGGTTATGATGTAAATCACTATAACATTTAATTAGCTTGATTTATATTGTGAAAAATTTAAAATACGATTCGTAATCTCAAATTTTAATCAATTTTTTACAGCGATTTAAACTAGAAGACAATTTAAAAAGCTTAGATATGAGTGGCAAACGAGAGATTTTTCGAGAAATATTTGGAGCGACCCAGCAAAGAAAAGATTTACATTCAATCATATCTATTTTAAATTTCTGAGAGTTTGACTTGGATTATAGAACAAATTTTAGGACAATTCAAACTTGGCAATGGCTATATCAGGATTTATAAAGTAAGTAATGCCTATTATAAACTATTTAAATAATTATTGATATAATTTATGAACATTTTTTAAATATAAACATAGTTTTAAATAAACTAGGATGTACAACGTACAAATTATGACCTTAAAATTTGATTGCAATTCATGAAAAAACTTTATATTATATTATGTTTTGTAATTAATAATTAAAATTAAAAACGAAGATAGCTGTATAATGTAAAATATTCATAAATATAAAAACTGTGGCTGAACCTTCATTGTTTTGTTGATATAGGGACGGATCGTGTGTGTTCTGTAGCATACCAGCCACGAAAACAACAGACTCTGGATCAGTTTCCGTGGAAAAAACTGCGAACACAATATGTTTGCCATCTATGGATCCACAAAAATGCAATTAAAAATTAGCTATAATTTTAGTATTTAAGTACATGAATATGACATAATAATACTACTCAAATTGTATCGTTAAACAATATTCTTTAAAAATAAAATAAAAATTGCTTGAACTATATTGGTGCACTTTTTTAGATTTAAAGTGAAAGTTTAATGAATATATTAAACATTTTAAGCCGTTAAAGTATTTTACATAAATTATGTTTATTAAAAAAATTTAACATGGTATACTGTTATAGCAATTAGTAGTTGGAAATAATAATGGAATAAAAAAACTTAAAGTTTAAGACATACATGAAAAAAAAGATTGACAAGTGGGTGTCGCTCTGCTGTACAGTAGGTTACAAGTGGGTCACTGTATAATGGATGGTATTACATTTGAATTCAATGATATTATATCATTGTATAATAAAAACGATTCTTAACTCAAAATAATTTGCAAGTTTTCCTGATTTTTCCATATTTTTTCAATTTTTGAACTTTAAATGCTTATGAAAAAAAACTGTGACTAAGGAATTTTAATATTTTTCATTTGCCTTTGAAAATATATACTAGGAGCCTTCAATTTAATTTTCAAGCTTTTTTAACCAACAAATAAAATTTTATCGATATTTCTAGAAAATAAACTAAAAAAAAATGAAAAATGAAAATGTCCCTAAACAGTTCAAAATAAATCAAAATATATTTAATTATATATATTTAATATTTTGAAAATGTTATCGTGTATAGAAAATGCATATATAAACAACCACTGAAAATGTCATGTATCTACGGTCATTTGTTTTAAAGTTACACCAAAAACCAAAATCGATTTTCTCGAAAACATATTTTGCGTAATATTCCCTATTTTCCTTAATTTTTATGTTGTTTTTCCCGTCACTTTTGAAAACTATTGATAATTTTAAAATTTGACCTCCCAAATGCACGCACCTATCACAGTGAATCTATCACTTTCCCAACAAACAAGATATTGTTGAAGAAAATTGAAGCAGTTTTACTGCCCTAAACCGTGATGACAGACACAAAAAAAAAAGGTGGGTAAGTGGATTTCGCTCTGCTGTACAGTAGGTTACAAGTGGGTCACTGTATAATGGATGATATTAAATTTGAATTCAACTATATAATATCGTTGTATAAGAAAAACGATTCTGAGCGGAGACGGTATATCAGTCTAGGTATAAGACATATTATATACATATCTATGGTACTAAATCAAAATTTGACCTATAATAGGTACCTATAATTAATTCAAAATTAATCATATCACAATATCCATTAGGTACTTATAACGCGTTATACACCAACAATAAACCCTGATACTATCATAGATATATAGTAGTATACTTTAGAAATTAGAAGTTTCAAGTACCCACGAAAAATATTATACAATCACAACAAAATAACTAAAATAGTTATTCTAGGTTTTTTATTATGTAATTTTTCGTCCAAATTTGAATTTAAAATGTCTGTAAAAAATAACTGTGTTCATATATTTTTTAGATTTTTTGGTTACAGTATGAACTATTTATGAGAACCTTTGTTTTAAATTTGCAATCCTTAGCTATAAAAACTGAACATTTTATAATTTATTAATTACAATGATTGATAATTTTCAAGATTTTGATAAATTTTGTCAAAATTCAATCTTTAAATGCTTATAAAAAAAAACTGTGCCTATGTAGTTTTAATATTTTCAACTGATATTGTAACAATATATCAGGAGCCTTGTATTAAATTTCTACACTTTTTGGCCCAATAGATAAAACTTAATTGATATTTATAGAAAAAATAAACTAAAAAAATTAAAAACTGAAAATGTCCGTAAACAGCTCAAAAAAAGTCAAAATATTTACAAAATTATACAGTGTATAGAAAATGCTAAAATGATTATTCAGTGAAATTTTCATGTATTTACAGTTATTCGTTTTTGAATTACAACAAAATAAGGAAATCGCTACATGAGAAATCGAGTGAATATCCAATGTTGTAAAATTTGAATTTCAAACGCTCATAAAAATTTAGTTTGACTTTCCGGTAGAGATTTTTTT